CAGAAAAGTGTGGTTGTAGTGGTGCTTTGGCTGCCATCACCAAATGGTTGTACATGACGTCCGCAGGTACAGTTGGTGCAGGAGGCCGTGAGACGGCTTCAGCATACGTAGGCATATGTAAGGGCGCAGGGGGCGGGGCACGTGGGACGCTCGTCATCTACGCCAATTCATACTTGGTAATTTCCCGCAAGTTAGGAGGGGGTGAGCGGACAGATGAAGTAGGTGCGCTGGCAGGTGTGTGGCAGCGTTCACAATATATATATATATATATTCATGTTGCGCACATGGGAAAGAGTGGAAGACAACAAAGACAGCGGTAAACGCACTTGTCACTCCGAGTTAGAAAGAAAGAAGAGGATCATGAAGACCTCTAACTGGTCGACCACTTCTGAGCTCACCCCATACGACCTAGTAAACGGCCTCTCTCAACCTTTGGCGTTCTCTTTCAAGCGTTACATAAGCGTAAAACAGAGAGGTGGGAGTGCTGGGTAAGGGCTTCAACTACGAAATGATCACTGCTCCAGCGTCGACAAAAGCCGTAAACTTACCGGCCTCTCACCATCTGTCATGAGTACCTCTGACATGCCCGAAGAAAGCCGTTCTCAGGACAGCACCGTCCGGTCCGCTTTCGTACTACCGAGTTCATCCACCCTTCGGAGGAAACGTCGGAGAAGATGTCGACGCCTGGCTCACCAAGTACACGCGAGTGAGCAAGTCCAATGGTTAGGACGCAGCCGCCAACGAGGTGTTCTTTCTGACCGAACACCATATTGGTGTGGTAAGAGAACCGCGACGACGCGCTTACGACGTGGGACCTTTTCGCTGAACAGCTCAGGGCGTGTTTCGCCGACTCGGTTGCTAAAAATAAGCGGGCTGAGAGAACACTGTCGCAACGGGCACAGTGACCATGTGAAACGTGCACCACATACATAGAAGAAGTGTTAAGGCTGTGCAAGGTGGTCTGCACTACCATGTTTAAAGTGGACAAAGTTGGTCATCTGCTCAAAGAAATTGCTGAGGACATGTACAATGTTCTGATTGGAAAACAAAATCTCAGTTCTGTGTCCGACGTCATTCGGCATTCGAACATTTGAAGCTCTCAAGATGCGTCGAATTGCGCCTAAGTTTTGTTGGTTGGCTAACGTTACAACTTTTGCCAGTGTGGACACAAATTCTACTTCTCTTCTACCATTCAACAAATTGTTCGCGAGGAACTGTCCCACCGAGAAGTGTCATGCTCGAGAGCTGACCTTCCAGAGTTGTGTCTGCCACGTCAGGCTATGACTGTGCCTCCTTCGACCACATGGCAACCGACGATGAGCACGGCAACTGTGGAGTGCAGCCCATGGAGCCCCACAGTTAAGAATGACTACCAGATTTACCGCTTCACAATATGACCAATGCCCTCAGCGCACGCCTCTTCGACACCCAACGTCTCGTTACGAGGTGCCCGACCAGCATATTTGCTATAGAACAAATGACGACAATCAATTCATCGACGAGCGAGCAATGTTTCAACCTCTGCCGGTGGGCTATTCCTGCAGTGTTCCAGGCCCCTTATCGCGGTTTTGCAACTTTCGGGTGACTCCTTGGTATCACCAGCCATCAGACTTTTCTCGACCATCTGAACAGCCTCATGGTGTTCAGCGGGCGGCCCACATACCACCAGGTGACAATTATTGGCCCGACAACTTCCACAACCACTCCCCGGCATCTCACAGGAATTTGAAGCCTCCATCACAATCTCGTGCTCATCGTTCTCCTTCGCTGATGCATCGCGAAGCGCCCCCTTCGCCACCGCAAAAATAGCGAGTTCGCCCAATGGGCGTGAGGTCGCTGAAAACGTAGTACTGACAGAAATACTTCCTGTGCGTATGTTTAAAGAAGTTGCGTGTTTTTGTAGATTATGTGCCCGTGATGGCCTTGATGAACACAGGTGCAACGGTTTCCGTAATGAGTTCTCTGAAGACATGTTAGGGCAGAAAATAGTTTTTACATGGCATGAAACTGTTGAGTGAGTGGGGAACCGTTGCACCCTATTGGTGTGTGTAGTGGTGACGCATTTTTGGGAGGCCTTATCATAACGACTGAGCTTGCGATTATTTCTCCGTCCACACATGACGCGATTTGGTGCATGAAGTTTCTGAAAAAATATGGTGTCACTCTAGACACCATATTGGCCTATGGATTGTAAACTGGCCTATGGATTGTAAACCAACTGGCCTATGGATTGTAAACTATTTCTCAGAGCCCGTGTCCGTACCGGATGATTTGCAATTAGCTTTGGTCAGCAGAGAACACTCCACCTTATCAGTGGTCGAGCTCACAGATGTTCCGGAAGAACGTGCCGGAACTGTTTGTAACAGTTCGAACGGGGCGTTATGGCAATGATGAATAAGTCGCTTAGCTCAAGCGAGCGCCGAACTTTATTCAACGTGCTGTCGAAGAACATTTAGGTATTTTGCTTTGCGCATAAAGACAAAGTAACCCTTATCCCACGTCTCGAATGCGCTATACCATCAACACTGGAGTGGCAAGCCTAATTCGACAAAACCATATCATGTTTCCGTATCAGAACAACAAATTATCAGTGACCAATTGCAGGAAATGATGCAAAAGGGAGTGTGTCGTGTTGCGGCCTAGCGAAAGGCCATGCGGATCCCGTTAGACCGCAGAAGCAGAGGAAAGGGACAGAGCCGCTTCCGATTTGGGCGAGATAACATCAACCAACATTTATTCCATGCAACTAGCATACTAATATAGCAGACACTCATGTGACCTTTGACGTCACGTACAAGCAACACTATAGTGCCTGATATCGCGGACACTTGACGCGCATAAGCATTACCACTACACCTCCCCTCTTCAATAATACTGTCACGGGTATAGGAAGGTACCTTAGGCATGGGTGCAGAAATGACGCAGAAGGAATGAAGACGACGATATTGTGGGGCCATTGTCCTGTTGTCCTGCATCCTTGCACACTGTGTGCAGTGTTAGCCCAACCGGCGTTAACCTAATAAATACTCCCCGTTACATATTTTTGGTGGAAGTACTGGGTAACATTCCGACTCGGGATATCAGTAGCAAACGTCAGCTTCATTCAGCCACGACGCCTGAAGGCAGTGCGCCGTCCGTTCAGTCTACGCCTGCTCCGGCACCTGTGATTCCTTTCCATCTTCTCGATCCAGGTACATATTGTGGCACTGAAACACCTGACGTTGACGAGTGGCTCGCCTTATACGAGCGTGTCAGCAAGCAATACATGTTGGATTAGACGCTTATGCTGGCCAACATCGTCTTTTACCTGCGAAGTACTGCAAGCGCATGGTACGAGACGCACGAGGAAGACCAGACGATTTGGGACGTGTGCAAGCAAAAGATCCGTGACTTGTTCGGTCCGTCAGTTGCTCGACAAGTGGCAGCCAGGCAGGAACTCGCGTCATGAGTTCAATCTTCCACCGAGTAGTACGTCACTTATATCCAAGACGTGTTTGCCTTGTGTCAGAAGGCCGACAAAGACATGACCGAACTAGACAAGGTCAGCAATGTGCTGAAGGGCATAGCCGACGATGCCTTCAACATTCTGATATGCAAGAACTGTACCACCATTGACTCAATCGTCAGTGAATGTCGGCGGTTCGAACAGCCAAAAGCAGGAGAATTACTCAAAGTTTTTTCCCGACTCCCAAACACCGCTGCGACTTCTACCCGCGAGGATCCTGTGGTGCCACGTTCATTCGTCAATCGTCCAAACATCACAAGAATTGTTCGCCAGGAGCTGGAAGTAATGGCTCCTTCCGCTTATCAACCCTCTCTGCCTGACAACTTTGCCCCAATATCTCTTATTCAGGCTCTTGTGCGACAAGACTTCGCCAACATGGACGTCTTAGTTCCCCAAAACTCCAGTCACACACCGCAGCCCATAAATCCTAACGCTCACTACCACGCCGCCCCACTTGTTGCTGCTGCCGCGTCGGTCCCGCGGTTCTCATCGCGCTACCGAAATCCATCTAAGTAGCGCACACAAGATGATCGACAGATACACTTCCCTTGCCATCGCGTTGGCCGCATTTCCCGCCACTGCCACAACAGATGGTCTTTCCGGCAACGTTTTCTGTATGGGACCAGGGATCAGCGTGACAGCAGGTGCGTGCGTCAGGCAGCTAGTGCTGCTCCGTTTATTCAGTCCGTCACATTTATAATACACTCTGGGAAACGCCCCTTTGATCAACGCGCGATAGCATCAAGATCGGGCGAAGCCCCTTGAGCTTATCGTGCGTAGCGCACGAGTGAGGCGCGATACAATACATTTTCTAGACGACCACCGACAGGATCGTGGGCAGTATTCGCCACCTCGTTTTGCCAATGACCATCTTCAGGACCTTCCATCTAGCCGTTCTAAGCTACGCTCTCAACCATCCTACGCCGATGTCGTCACCCAGGGAACCCGGTCCAGCCACTCGCCGTCACCTCAGGGTCGCCAACCACACTCCTATCAACGTCGTCGCTCCCTGTTACCGGCGTATTTGGGCAGTTCTCGGGAAACTAACAGATTCAGCTCCTGGAGGTGGCGCTGCATTGATAACTCGGACCGAAAAACCTCTACCGACCACTGATTCCAGACGAAATTCACTTGATGTTTTTATCAATGGCGTGACCGTTAAAGTTCTTATAGACACTGGTGCCCACATATCCGTTATGTGTTCATGTCTTCGATTCCGCCTGAAAAAAGTACTTACCCCTGCCATGTCTTCGACTGTGCGAGTAGCCGATGGCAGCCGAACATCAGTTCTTGGCATGTGGACTGCCCGCGTCACTGTTGCCGGCCTTCACACTTCAGTCCTCGTCACTATTCTAGACGCTTCCCACATCACGTGATTCTCGGCATTTACTTGAGCGCGCATTCAACCCTCATCGATTGTTCAACCAGTACTTTACAGCTAGAGTTGCCTTTGTACTCTGATGTCCCTCCTGCAGCTCGCACACGGCTATGGTCCATGGGGTGTCTACGATTACCACCTCAGGCCGCTGTGTACCTTTCTATGTCGCCGTTCTCACCTGTTCCTGATGGTGACTACTTGGCAGCTCCACTCATTGACCTGGCCCTTTCCTGGCGCATGATGCTTTCTCATACTATAGTGAGGATTAGCGACAACAAGATGCTTCTCCCTGTGCTTAACTTCTCCGTGTCAACCAAGGTCATTGCTCAAGGTATTGCCTTAGCAGAACTCTCCACTCTGAAGCAATGTACAATTTCATCTCTCACTCCTGGCATCAAGATCGTAGCCGAACCTGTCGCAGCCGCATAGAATGTAGCTTTGCTAGACGAAAAGATATCAAACGAGCTGTCGCCGTCCTAAGTTAAAGCACTCCGTGGTCTTCTATTTTCTTACCACGACATTATTGATGTCGACGACCGTTCCTTGGGTCGCACGAGCGTCGTAGCCCACCGTATCGACACTGGTAACGCCAGTCCTCTTCATAAGCGTCCTTACTGTGTGTCTTATTCAGAGCGCCAAATAATCCAGAAGGAGGTAGAGAAAATGCTCGCAAAGACGTCATATAGCCTTCAACCAGTCCTTGTCCATTGCCCATTGTGCTTGTTAAAAAGGAGAACAACACCTTGCGGTACTGCGTCGACTATCGCCAACTCAATCGGAAAACCAAGAAGGATGTCTATCCCCTACAACGAATTGATGATGCGCTTCACTGCCTTCATGGTGGCAAGTATTTCTGTTCCCTAGACCTACGATCTGGATATTGGCAAATTCCAGTCGATGACCGTGACCGCGGTAAGACGGCATAACACCCGACGGGCTTTATCAATTTAAAGTCAAGTCTTTTGGCTTGTGCAATGGTACAGCCTATTTTGAACTCATGATGGACTCCCTCCTTCGCGGTGTTAAATTGTCGACGGGCCTGTGCTATCAAGATGATGTCATCGTTTTCTCGCCGACCTTTGAAAGCCATCTTCCACGTCTGTCGGCCATTCTTGAAGTTTTTCACTCTGCTTGCCGCCAGCTTAACGCGTCTGAGTGCACCTTTGGGCGCCGTCAGATAAAGCTACTTGGCCACCTTGTTTACGCTACTGGTGTACGACCTAACCCTGATAAAGTCCGCGTGGTGCGCGAGTTTTCAGTCCCACGTTCCAGGCAAAACAGTCCGCAGTTTTTTGGGACTCTGTTCATATTTCCGTCGTTTTGTCAGCAACTTCGTGGAAATTGCTCGGCCCCTCACGGATCTCCTCAAAAATAATGCGGCTTTTTCCTGGCGTGAAGACCAAGAACATTCCTTTGCGTCATAGATTTCTGCGCTCATATCACCACCTGTGTTGGCTCATTTTGACCCAGCCGCTTGAACGGAGCTTCGCGCCGACGCAAGTGGCCATGACCTAGTGGCAATACTCGCACAAGTGCAGAACGGCACAAACCTTGTCATAGCGTACGCTAGCCGCCTACTTTCTCAGTCGGAACTATTCAATTGCTGAGGAAGAGTGCCTCACTCTCATCCGGGCTATCGCAAAATTTCGTCCATACCTATATGAACGCACGTTCATCGTCATCACAAACCACCATGCGCTCTGCTGGCTGTCAACCCTTGAGAATCCCACAAGAAGACTCGGGCGATGGGCATTGCGATTGCAGGAGTACACGTTATCTGTAGTTTACAGGTCTGGCGAGCTTCACAGCGATGCCGACTGCTTATCTCGACACCCTGTTGATCCACCGGACTCCTCTGAGTTGAAAGCTGATGCCAACATCCTAGCCATAACAGATTTTCTGCAAATTGACGACGAACAATGCCGAGATCCATCGCTGCAATCGAGGATTGACCATCTGGTAAAAACAGTGGACATAAGGTTCAGGAGAGAAAGAGGGGGACGAAGCATGGTGCTTGGCACGTGAAGTGGTTCTTGCATCTACGCCGCAATAAACGGACGTCGAGACGCTCTGTTGTTCTTCTCCAGGTGTATTAGTCCTTTGAAGCCGTTTTTCTACAAAAGAAGTCCTCGGATTTTACATTGGTGCTGAAACCCGACCCGGTTTCAAGGAGGACCATGTAACGCCTGCGAAACACGAGACCAGCTAGACGGCGACAAAGTTCTAAGATCGTCAATGCCGTTGATGAGCTTCTAGCCTCCAATGAATTCGACTTAGCGGGGCTTCGCAGCATTCTTCTGCGCCTGGAGAAAAGCACCGACGAGCTCGCCAAGGCTAACGAAGCACTGCACGCCGACGTGATTGATGATGAGATGCTGGTGGACATGGACTCTGTGCTAGAGTGGGAGGACCGAACTGCAGGAAGCGTTGGCCTTCTTAAACATCACATCCAGGAGCTGGCTGTCCGAACATCAGGGCCAGCCAGGTACAACGGTGAGTTGCCAACCGACTCTTCCCTGCCACGTCAAGCAGCCCCATCAGATATTTCTGCCGGCGCAGGAGCAAGGCTTCCTATGCTTGACCTTATGAGATTCGATGGTTCCCCCACAAAATGGCTACTTTTAGGACCTCTTTCGGCACACTGTAATCGACAACCCTCGTCTCAAGAATGTCGATTGGTTTCACCACTTCAGATCTGTTTGACGGTCCTGCGGCAAAGGCTATTGTAGGCGTACTCACAACCTACAATAGTTATGAAGACGCCGTTTCTATACCTAAGGAGCGGTTTGGAGGAGTGCGCATGATTGAGCAGAGGCATCTCAAAAATCTTCGCACTCTACGTCCTGTCACTACGTCGGCGAGTGCTAGTGCCCTGAGAAGCCTTTACGACTTTGTTCAAGTCAACATAAGAGGCTCAAAGGCCTCGGCGTCTCGGAATCCTGCTACTCTGTCATGTTGTGCGAGGTAATAATGAAAGCGATTTCACAAGACATAATGGTGGAATATCACCAACGACGGCGACTTGAAGCGTCAAGTGCGAATGACCAACTGAGCTCGGAACAAGAATTTCGACAGTTGCTCAAGTACCTAAGCTTCGAAGTTGAGTGCAGAGAGCTCACCAGCTACCAGTGACAAGTTACTTCTACCAGGGATCAGCAGACTTCCGGCATTGATGAGAATCAGCCGACAGCATCAGCTGCAGTGTTCTATAACAGTGCTGTTACGAAGGAGGAGGCTTGCCTTTTCTGCCAGAAGTCACACTCAACGCTGCACTGTGACAAATCGCTTCCTCACTCAGAAAAAAAGCGTCTTCTTTCGACGACTGGCTGCTGCTTCCTATGTACCACAAAAGGACATCGAGCAAAGGACTTTCGATAAAAGGTGAGCTGCTCACATTGTCATGGAAGACACGGTTCTTCGATGTGCTCTAGACAGGCTAGTAAAGCTGTTCAAATAATGACGCCACCACGAAACGGTACGAGCAAATAGCAATAGAAGCCTTTATGCAATGCTATTGCAAACAATTAGAGGATGGATAAATGACACAAAGGGTTCCTGCTATATATGAGGCATTCTGGATAACGGTAGCCAGGGCACTTTTATGAAAGAAGACGTTTCCAGACAACTGAAGCTAAATGTGGTGGAAGTAATCTACATTGCCGTCAATGTGCTTGGAACCAAACATGGTAGTCGATGCACGCGTCGAATACTAGTTCAAGTAACTTTGCAAAGCCCGTAAGATGATGTTCAGCATGTCATTGAAGCTATTGAAATAGTGCACATCTAGAATCCATTGTTTAGGTGCCCCAAAGTCATGAATTCATCAAACGGTTTCACAACCGTGGTCAAATAGTGGCTGATGCACTTTGCTTTTCCCACATAACTCAAGAACAAGGCATCAGCCTATTGATTGGCTCAGACGAATTGTGGAAAGTCCTTGGAAGAGACGTCAGTTTGCATGACGAGCACAAAGGTCTCCTTTCCATTCAAACATCGCTGGGTTGAACATTCCATGGACCATGAAGCGATGAAACCATCCATCTATGCACAAATACAAACGTTTGTGTACTTAGGACGAATTGCTGTATGAACGATGCACAGATGCAGGAACTTGCAGGCTCTACTCTTAAAAAGTTTTGGCAGCTAGAAAGTTTGCAGACCAGTAATGCAGATGTACCATCCCTCTCACCATGAAACTTTTTGCAACACTTTCAATGAAACCATTGAGATGCGCTATCAAAGATGCAAAGTGTACACGCCTTTGAAGGTTCTGCCAACATACCAGCACGATTATCGTACGGAAGCGTTCAAATGGCTATAGGATTGGAAGGAAATAGCCGCGGGCATAGTTTCTCGAGACGCACAAATAAAGTCGCTTGCAGACAGGGAGAATCGGTGGCAAAGATCAGTTTGGTTGGCAAAAGACGAAGAATGGTTCAAACACTTGACCCCCAATCCGAGGAATATTGAAAACGATGTGAAAGGAAATGCGGAAGTAGACACCGTTACCCAAAAACAACGATTCCGCCTTGAATTGGCAGTCCTCCAGGTTGGGCGAGATCTACCCAAGGCGTCGACAATTCGGGATTTCCACCCTTTTCTTGCGGAAAAGGATAGATTGCTGGAAATTCAATTAAGGATTCGGAATGTGGAGTACCATGAGGGCATCAAACACTCGATTCTGCCTCCCGGTGACCACATCGCTAATGAACTCAAAGCCACCGGTGCAGGAGTCGCAACAACCATCACGGAAATCCGAGAGCGCTTCTGGGTGACAAAGGTGAAGCAGTGTGTGAAAAGAGGGATCAAGCGGTGTACCTGGTGCGCACGAGTAAGGGTGAATCCTGCGACAGCTTTTATGACAGCGCTATTTGCTGACCGAGTGAACGTGTCCAAACCGTTTGACGTTACTGGTGTAGATTTTATTGGACCAGTGTAGTTGAAAAGTGAGCAAGCACAGAAATCATGCATCGTGCTATTCGCATGCGCGGTAATACGCGCTGTTCATCTAGTGCTTCTATTACCCTCCACAGCGGACAGTTTCGTGGAAGCCTTTCGGCGTTTCACTGCACGTCGTTTATTCCCTTCAATGATTTACTCTGACCATTCTTTGTGCTTTAAACGTGCTTCTTGAGAACTTCGTACTGTGTACGACACTATTAGGAGAAGTGAAGTCGGCGATTATCTGTCTGCTCATAGCATCCCGTGGAAATTCTGGGCTGACCGTGCTCCTTGGTGGGGCGGATTTTGGGAGCGTATAGTGAGGTCAGTGAAAGACAACTTAAGAAAAGCTGCAGAATGGTCTCTTTTAGATTATGGTCAAATGACCATGGTCTTAGCAGAAATCAAAGCTATCACAAATATCAGACGGTTCACGTACTTGTATTCTGCACCAGAGGAACCAGAAGTCTTAATACCTGCCCATTTCTTACATGACAAGTGATTTACGGCACTCTCCCACTTGCAAACTGCAGACGTGGTGCCTAGCTCCCATGCGGAGCTTTTTAAAACTTGGATACAGCGACAAAAGCTACAAAAATACTTCTTAAAACACAGGTATGGGGAGTATAATGCTCCTTTGAAGCGCTCATAATAGGCCAGTGGTGGACAATACTAGTATTGCGGAAGGCAATATAGTGATGGTGCTCGACGATGCTCTGCCCAAGTTGTGTGGGAAACTCGCTCGTGTTTTGAAGAACATTACGGGACACGACGGCATTGTTCGTGCATGTGTCTTGAAGTTAGCAGACGGCAGAATTGTTACGTGGCCTATTCAACAGTTGTGCTTCCTAGAAATGCGCCCGGAGCAATTTGTAGGCCGGTAGTGTTAAAAACAGTGGACAAGGGTGCAGGAGAGGAAGAAGGAGACGGAGCATGGCGCGTGGCACATGAGAAGGTTCTTGGATCTACGCCGCAATAAAGTGACGTCGAGACACTCTGTTCTTCATCACCAGGCATATTAGTCCTATGAAGGCGGTTTTCTACGAAAGAAGTCTTCGGATTTTACACCGTCTTCATTCCGGCCATAAAGAGCCTTCACTGGGCCTATTTTTTTTTTAAAGACAACATTTTGTACCGCCACAACTTACAGCCCGTTAGCGTGGAACGTTTGCTCTTCGTCCCACGTCATCTGAGCAAGGACATCTTGCAAGAACTTCACAACGCCCCAACTGCCGGACATTTACGTGTCTCCAGAACCTGTGACCACGTCTGCCTACGGGTATTCTGGAGGAGCCTTTATCGTTCCGTTCGCCGCTATGTTGCGACGTGTGACCTGTGTTAGCGTCGGAAGAAGCCTACGTCTCTCCCTGCCGGCCACCTTCAACCTATTGAAGTCTCACCCAAGCCGTTTCATCGTGTAGGTGTGGATTTGTTAGGTGCCTTCCCAACATCGGCAACGGTAAACAAATGAATAGCAGTAGCTACAGATTATGCCGCTCGGTACGCAATTACTATAGTGCTACCAACCAGCTGCGCAACGGACGTCGCAGATTTCCTACTCTATGACATCATCCTTCAGCATGGTGCTCCTCCCCTACTCACCGACCATGGCCGCTGCTTCCTGTCTCGTGTGGTTGACGACCTCCTTAGATCCTGTGCTACGTGGCACAGCTTTACAACTTCTTACCATCCTCAGACCAACGGACTTACTGAACGCCTCAACCGCACACCCACGGACATTCTTGCTATGTATGTTTCTGACGACCACACCAATTGGGACACTGCCCTTCCGTTCGTAACTTCGCCTACACCTCGTGGCGTCATAAAACTGCCGGCTACTCACCATTTTATCTTCTCTTTGGCCGCGATCCCATTCTACCTTTCGATACCCTGCTTGCGCATGACCTTCCGTCCACCACTTTGTACGCACAAGATGCCCACTCCCGTGCTCTGATCGCACATACAGTAGCATGCAGCAGCTTTTCATCGTCCCAGAGAGCACAAAAGTTGCTCTACGAAAGCCGACATAGAGATCTAGATGTTTTTCCGGGCTCTATCATGCTACTGTGGCTGCCATCCCGTCGTGCCGGCCTGTGCAAGAAACTTTTATCGCAATACGTTGGGCCTTACCGAGTTCTGCGCCAAGTCACACCTGTCACCTATAAAATTTCTCCTACTACGATCCCCACTGTTACATCCAGAAGTGACATTGTGCATGTTTTTCGCCTGAAGCCCTATCACATGACACGTTCGTCTAATAACAGCAGGCACCGGGACGGCGCTTTGCCGCCCGGGGTAATGTCACGGTTATAAAAATGTACCTCAAGCACGGGTGCAGAAATGACGCAGAAAGAATGAAGACAACGACGTTGTTGTAGGGCCATGTCTGGTCTGCCCTGTTGTCCTACATCCTTGCACACTGTGTGCAGTGTTAGCCCAGCTGGCGTTAACTTAGTAAATATTACCCATTAGAATACGCTGACAGTTGCAACCAACTTAGCAGTACTGCCAGAGAAAGAACACTTTACAGAAACAACAATGCGCAAGATACA